CCCACGCCAAGCACTTCAAGATACGATTCTCCCGCCCCGCAACAGTGACTGGCCGAGAGCTCTCCGTGGTCGTCCAGGTAACTCCCCCCTCCGCTCCTCCCCCCTGCGCTCCTCCCCTCGGCACATGTTCAGCCACTCAACATCCAGCCTAGTCTTTGACTCTCGTCCCTCTTTGGTGACCTCTGATATTTGAAATGACTTGGGGCCTTAGCCATGGTCGTTCCGTGTCGCGTGTGTGTGGCATGCAGATATTCGAGATGACAGCGGGCCTCTTCATGGTGGAGGCGCGCAAGGCAGCCGGCGACACTCTAGAGTTCCACAAGGTGCGCCCTGCCCTGCCCTGCCCTGCCACATCTCCCACTCGTGCTCGCTTCTTATTTATTCCTCTCACGCTTACCTCTCACTCCTCTCCCGCTCCCCCACTGCTCCACCCCACCAGTTCTACCGCGCCCTGCTGGCAAGGGTCTCAGACATGGTGTGCCACGACAGCGCTGCCACCACAGCCCATCCGCCCGTCACCGCCCATCCCACCACCGCCCTTCTCGCTCCTGCGCCAGTCGTGGCCTCCTCGCCCCCTGCCCGTGCCATCCGCCCCTCTGTGTCGCCACCCGGCAAGTTTGGCAAGGCAGGAGTGGCACCGCTGCTGGAGCAGTCACAGCAGGGCCAGTCACAGCCAGCGGATAGGCGGTCATCGCTGGATGAGGGCCAGAGGACCACCGTCAACGGCTGTGGTGGTGGTGACACGAGCAGGCGGAGATCCATGGACGAGACGAGCCAGCCATATGCAGACATGGCGGCACGCGCCGCTGCAGCAGCTGCAGCTGCTGCACGGAGAAACGAAGCAGCACTGAAGTCCCCTGCAAAGGCGAGATCGCTGGATTTCTGGCCTGGATCGTTGAGGTCCTCGACGCTGCTGTCGCCCCTCTTCAAGTCCCGCTCCACGGCATCTCCCTCCATATCACTCAGCGGCCCTCCTTCCCCGCCCCCTCCTGCCTTGAGCCTCGCGAGCCCGCACAGGTGCTCTTGTGCTGGCCCTGTGTGCCACTGTGGGTATGCGCTGAGCCGTAGCTTGGACGGGAGTGGAGGTAGTGATGGCGAGGGTGGGGGTGATGGTGAGACGGAGGCTTTGGGGCATGCAGCAGCACGTGAGATGAAAGCTGGTGCAGCAGTTGCTGCTGCAACAGCAGATACAGCAGCACTAAGAGGGGGTGTGACATCAACGGAGAATGGGGGAGGGTTGGGAGTGCCAATTCTAATGGCACATGCCATGGTACCTCCTCTGTTGGGCAGATGAAAGGGGCGTGGGTTGGAGGCATACTACTGACAGCAATGGCCACTGGCTCTTGGTGGTGAAATAATCAATAACCACCAATTTTATTCGTTTTACTGTATGTCTATATGGCTATGTATTATATAATTATATGAATAATTCGTATGCTAACCATAATAGTATTGTCCCAACTTGGGCAGATTAGATAGCCAATACGAGTAGGACGTTTTGTTGATGGTTTAGTTTGGTATTTACGCGTTGGTATGCTAGCTTCACAAGTCACATATTCTGAGCGACCATATAATTTCGGCACCGTTCCGAGGTTGGGCAGCACCGGATGGTACCGCAAGCTGACATCATAAGTTTTCCGCCCGAGGTTGGGCTTGATTTGTTTGCCTACAGGATCAATTGAGCCATGTGGTTCTTGTGCAGTTGGTTCTCTACTGTAACCTGCGTTCTGAGTCAACAATAATCGTTGACCGAGCGAAGCCCATTTCTGTGTTTGTGTCAACATGGACTCAGTACAGTGCACTACAGAACATGAGGTTAGTCTATGAGGCCGATTTGGTTGTACTGTACAGAACAGGTGTCCATTCAGCCTGCGGACCGAACTTTGTCGTTTACTTCGGGGGAACCCAGGGCAACAGCCTGCCAAACTAAAAGGAGGACGTGTGGTGGACGGAGAGAAACGACCAAAGCACCTCACTTCTGCGACGCAGTGTACCTATTGTGGCGCGAATACACTCGTTTCTTCGCATCGCGGTAAGTGCATTCGACGTTTCTTCTTCTCGCACCAGGAGTTCCGTGTAGTTTGGGAACTTCCCAGCCTGGGAAGTGGACCTTGCTTTACTGATAGCAATGACAGCATGTAGTAGTTTCAATAGGGTATCCTCCAAAATCCCCATTGGAAATACAATCAATTACTGATCCCGTCTCTGCCGCTGGTCCGTGGCATGGGCCATGGGGGAGACAACCGTACGGTTGGTTGGTTACTTGCGCGCAGGCAGCAAGCGCTGGGGCTTGTTGGTTGGGTCATGCGCGGAAGAGGTGTGTGGGGGGATGAGCGGGAGACTCATCCGCTCCTTTTGAAACCTCAGCGCCCCAGCGGCAGGATGTGTCTCTCCGCTGAGCTTGAATTGAGTGGGGGGCGGGGAGAAATGCGCGCAGCTGTGGGATGCCCGAGGCGGAGAGCCAAGCGCAACGACATCCAGCAAGCAAATCCCCTTCCCCCCATCTTCCATGGGCATCTCTCCGCACCTTGTGGATTTTCAACCGCACGATTGGCGCACACGACCTAATCTTTACCCTCTGCTGGGCAGAGCCCTGGGAGCCCAGGCAGCAGCAGCAGCAGCTCTGCCCCCCTGGCCGCTGCCCCCATACCCATCCCCATCGCAAGAAAGCACACCCCAGCAAGGGACCTGCTTGGTAGGGTGCGCCCTATGCGCATAAACATCCATCCCTCGCCTCTGGCCATTCTTGTCCTCTCCGGCATTTCTCCGTGCAGCCTAGGTTATTCCTCTCGCCGAGCAGACTACAGTAGGCTCCTAGAAGGACGAGCTCGAAGCACCGTGCGCCGCATGTGCGTGCTAATGGCATTGCCCGAATCGCAGCTCACCCCCGTCGTCGCCCGCGCATGAGCTTGTGTCGCATTGCTCTCCCACCTTCGCAGCGATCCGCTGCGAGTCTCATCGATTTTCTTCGCAACCGCCTTCCTTCGCCTGGGCACCTGGCACATATTGAAGCATTATTTGATAAATTGTCTAATTTGCGCGCGCACTTTCACGGCAGGCGCACCACATTCCCCCGTTCGGTGCATGGGGAGCGACGGCTCCGCCGAACCGACAAACCGGCGCCTTCCCCCCTTCGAATCCGACAACCTACGCGCCATTTCTTCCGCCCCTTCCGCCTTCTCCCCCATGGCGTCCGCCCACACAGCCTGCCCGTGCCCCGCGCCCGTCGACGAGCGCGCAGCCGCGCGCGTCAACTCCGCGGGGTCGGGCGGCGGCAGTCGCAGCCCGTCGTGGAAGCTGAAGGGGAGCATCCTCAGCAAGGCGCTGCGCAGCCTGCAGGGCCGCGGCAAGCCCAAGGCGCAGTCGTCGCTCGGTGTTGACAGCGACTCGGTCGAATCCAACGGCCAGCAGTGCAGCCGCAGCGAGCGGATGGACCCATCGCCACAACTAGCGGCGCTGCCGCGGCCGCAGCTGGCGCGGTCGCTGTCGCACGGCAGTCGCGAGAAGACGCGGCTCGGGCTGCCGCAGCAGCAGCAGGCCAGCGTGCCCGCCAGCCCGTTTCACCTCGACAGCGGCGCGGTCAGCCCGGAATTGGCGCCGACATTGTCAGCGCCGAACGCGCTGAGTCCCGTGGCGACGGAGACGCATCTGATGGACATGGACATGCCCATGCTCGCGCAGGCGGCGCTCGCGCACTCCCTGGGCGTGCATCCCGCGCTCGTGTCCGCGAGCTCGGGCAGCGAAGCATCGCCGTCGGGGCGGGCGGCGACGGCTGGGGAAGCGGGGGAGGCGGCGGGGTGCGCCGCATCAGGGGAATGGCCGCCTAGCGGGTGGCCACAGGCGGGCGACGGAGCAGCGCCGGGCAGCGGAAGTGGCGCGCATGGCGAAAGCGGAGGGCGGAACAATGCGGCCGCGGGCGAAGGAAATTCGGTAAGCAGGGGAGAGGGAAGGCGGAATGCAATACGTGTGTGTGTGCGCGCGCGCGCATTTTTCTCGTGAGTGCCATTCCATGACCTCCGCGCCTCATTCCTTCCCCGCCACATCCCCCATTCCCTCTCCTTGCTTCCCCGCCCCCTCCCTCTCACCCAACCCTAACAGCAATCGCGGCCCATCCCGCCCATCCCGCCCATCCCCACGCCTCCCGCGCCCCTCTCTCCCCTCAACATGCCCCTGGCGGGCGCGCCCCCTCCCCCAAGAGAGTCCCGCTCCGCCCATCGCAGCCGATCGCGGGAAAAGGCGCGGGGGCACGGCGGGCACGGCGGGCATGGGGGAAGGCACAGCCAGCGCAGCATGAGCCACGACGAGGGGCAGCTGCACGGGTGGGCGGGGGCGGAGGGGGAAGGGGGGGAGGAGGACGAGGAGGAGGAGGAGGAGGGGGGCGAATGGGGGGAGGCGGAGGAGCAGGTGCGGGAGAAGCTGGCACGCATCGAGGGCAAGCTGGCGCGGCTGCGCGCCAAGCGCGAGCAGTATGTGGCGCGGCTGCAGCGTGTGCAGGCCAAGAAGGAGAAGGTTGCGGGGCCCATCCAGCAGTGGCTCCGCCCCCGCCCCGCCTGCAGCAGTAGCCAGGGGAGGGGGGGATGGCGTGGGTGGGTGTGGGGGAGCAGTGGTGGTGGCGCAGAGGGTGGGACGGACGCCTGCTCCCTCCCGCGCTGCTGCTGCTGCTCTCCTCGCCTGCCATCACACTTCTGGCTCCTCACTCCTCGCCTCTACCTCTACTGCTTGTGCTGTGAGGCCGGCTGTAGCGGCGCGACGAGAAATGTACTGCCCGCCCGTGGATGCGTCAGTTGCCACGATGACACATGGGGAGCTCGTGAAGAGTTGAACCACACCCCCCTGCTTAGGCTGAGCTTGTGTTTCCTTTCCATGCATAGAGCCCTGACAGTTGTGCAGTGCAGGGTGTCCTTCATACCATAACCCCCAAAATCTGTCAATCATCCCTCTGGATTCCAGAGTCTGGAAAGCTGCTCCACTCCTGCTGGCTGGACTTGAACCACATAATAATATATACGGTGCACATCAAACATTTGCAAAACGAGAACACATCATCCGTACATTATACAGCCTTCCCCAACCGCCAGCCCTCTTTTGACCCCGAGTGTGCTGTGCACGTATCAGCCAGCCATGTTGCGCTCCATGGCCATCACGATGTCCCCCATGCCGCCCCCCGCTTTCAGCACCTCCACCACTGCACTGTGCGCCGCCCGGTTGCGCTGCAGCAGCAGGAACGCCTGCAGCACTGCCCACCGCGCCTGGTTGGCCATCTGGGGGGAGGGAGTGAGGGGGAAGGGAGAGGAGTGAGGGGGAGGAGGGAGGACGGTGAGAGCAGGGCGTTGACATTGACAGGCAGATGACACAATGACAGTGTGGCACGTACGTGACACAAAGATGAGCATGTGTCCGAATGCAACATGGAATCGCTGCACAGCACATGTAGCACGGCAGGTGCAGCACAGCACGCGCACCTGGGGCCCCGACCAGGAGGGCGTGAGGTTGCTGAGGAACGCCTTGAAGAGGTTCTCGTCGCCCTCCCCCCCTGCGCCTGCCCGTACTGCATGGCTTCCGCTGCCACGCCCGCGAACAGCACTATGCTGTAGCTGCAGGGAGGAAGAGGGGGTGGAGGGGGAGAAGCCCCAGGCAGTGGGTGGCAAGGTTTGGGGAGAGTGCAGCGCATGTGAGAGAGATTGCGAGGGAATGAGGGAGAAACGAGCAGGTGGACAGGCGAGAGGGAGAGCGGATAAAATCAGGAGAGAGCAGCGGGAGCGGGGTGCAGGGGGGTGGCGCACCGGTCGACGGAGGCAGAGGAGAGCTGGCCGGCGCGGAGCTCGTCCTCGAGCTGCTCGTCCCAGAACTGCGTCCCCGCCTGCCCGCGCACGCCCACCCGCATCGCCTCAAACGCGTCCAGGAGCACCCCGCGCACGGGGCACCCTAGAAGATACGCTGCCAGGGGAAGGGGGGTGGGTTGCGGTGGTTGTGTGCGGGTGGGGGGCTGGAGAAAGGCAAGTGTTTTGAGGCAATGAGGCGCCGTCCAGTCCCGAAATACCCATCTCCATGGCCCCCACCCACATCACATGCCCGCGCCATTCACACGCCCCACACCACCCGCCACGACGTGCCCCGCCTCGTGCACCAGCACACGCTCCCTGAACGGCGCCCACAGCAGCATCAGCACCTGCCCCGCGCCCCGCCCCCCCAGGTACATGGCGTCGCCCATGGCGAGGCCAAGCGAGATGATGGCGAGCGGGCGCAGGTCCACCCCGACGTCCACCAGCGCGGAGAAGGCTGCGAAGAGCGCGACGGGCAGCCACGGTGTGGACGTGCCCCACTTCTGCGGGGCCAGGTTCGCCGCTGGGGGAGAAGGGGGGGGAGGGGGGAGGGGGCGGAAGGAATGGGGATGTGGAAGTGTGGTGGTGAGGGAGAGGAGGGGGAAAGCAGCATGGCAGGTTGTGAGAATGAGAGGGCCCAACGGGGAGGCTTGAATGGGATGCGGGGGAAGGAGTGAGAGAGAGAGCAGTGACGAGCAGGGGGGAGTAGGCAGCATGGATGACTCGGGATGAATGAGCGCGAGGAAAGACGGAGCGCACGGGCGCACAGGCGGAGTGCAGGGCGCCCACCTTGGAGGCCCGATCGGTCTCTGAGCACCTTGGGAGTGACGACGCGAGGCACGCCCTCCAGTACTGTGGCACCACGTTGGGGGGAGAGAGAGGGGTGGAGGGGCAGGCAGGAAAGGAGAGACGGGCACTGTGTGGTACTGCGTGGCTCAGCTCTCTCCTTTCCTTCCTTTAGGCGGAGCGCTGTGTGGGGGCTCCACTGTGAAAGCGCCTCACTGCACTCACTGCCCCTTGACTCCCCACCACTCACTGCTGGTTTGGAACCGTCCGAAGTTCCTCAGGAGCCCCTCGCTGCGCAGCCATTCGTACGTGCGCCCCACCACGCGCAGGTCCGCTCTCCGCCTTCCCCAACTCCAGCAGCCGCAGCCACCGCCGCTGCCGCTCCACCTCCCCCTCCTCCCCTTCCTCCCCCTCCTCCCCCCCTCCTCCCCGTAACCGCCGCCCGCCCTCCAGTTGCGCCTGCCCCAGTCCCCCCTGCGCCACCATTCCCCCCGTCTCCGCGGGTAGATCCAGGAATCCGGCGCTTTCCCGAGTGGCTTCGCCTGCCGGCCTTCGAGGGGCCAGCGCGGTGGCGATGGAAAGGGCACGTGGCAGGTCTTTGTCGTATAGCGCCACGTCATACTCTAGCCACGTGGGACGGGGCTGAACGCGGGGAGGTTCGGCGGCGGGGGGAGCGGGGATTCGGGCGGTGTTTCCGCTTGCGCTTCAGGAGGCGGGGAGTCTAGCGACGATCGCGGCGTGAAAATGCGGTGGTTTGGGTCTATATCGAGAGGAGCGTTCATTGTGGAAGCCGGGGGTGCGGGAATTGGCCGGCAGCAGAGCAGGTGCCGCCACGCGCCTTCCGCGCGCAGGGAGGGGACAAGCGGAGGGAAGGGGAGCGGGGAGACATGCGCGTGAGGGGGCCTGCGGCGCACGGCAAATGCGCGCCGCAGCGAGGGGGACATGGGGGCGGAGTGGCGGAGACGTGGGGCAAGCGGCGAAGAGACTCCCCTGAAGTCACGCGAGCGTGTGGGCGACGGAGGAGCGTGCAATGCAGTGCGGATGTGTCGCGGGCGCGATGGAAGGGGCGCGATGGAAGGGAGAATGACCATGCTGGAGAGCGAATCTAGGAATTTGAAGCAACCTGCATTTTAACGCGTTACTGATCTCAATGCCATGATACCAACAGCTACACGCGATGGTTTCTATCTCCAAAAACAAAGTCGATTTGTAAATAAGATGTACTCAATATGCACGTGGTCATTTGCTAGCAGAGTTGCTGCAAACAAGCGCTAGCCTTTACGGTACTTTGAATGCAGCTCTGGCAACAGCCACAAGGGCACAAGCATTCCCTGTAGAGTGGACTACACCATGCAGCGCCGATGCACACTTCCGATGCTGAGCTCCATGTGCTGACGCTGCTGCTGATGTGGCAGACGAAAGGGGAAAGGCATGTGGAGCAGCAGAGAGTTGGCAACAGCTCGAGATGACCCTCATGGCCCACCAATACACATGGCTAGGCATGGCTTCTGCGGCATGCCAGCATGGCTTACTGCAGCATGCCAGCATGGGCATGTGTAGATATTGCAGCAGATGCACTGGTGGGCACAGCCGCCCAGTGGCATGCACGCTTCGTGGTGCAGCAGAGGCAGAATTTGCGCCTGATCACAGTGCTGCCAGAGCCATGCACAGCAGTAGGCGTGGTGGGCTGCAGTGGTCCTAGCAGAGCATGCATGCGGCTCAGACGCACCCACGTCACTGGCTTCTAGCCTGAACCACTGTCTCATGGTCATGCCGGGAACACATGGTGAAACGGCCATGGCCCAAGCTCCAGTTGGCGGTCATCGCCACAGCAGCCCTTGGGCTCGGCTTAGTGCATACAGCAGCCCTTGGGGCTCGGCTTAGTGCATACAGCAGCCCTTGGGGCTCGGGCTTAGTGCATACAGCAGCCCTTGGGGCTCGGGCTTAGTGCATACAGCAGCCCTTGGGGCTCGGGCTTAGTGCATACAGCAGCCCTTGGGGCGGGCTTAGTGCATACAGCAGCCCTTGGGGCTCGGGCTTAGTGCATACAGCAGCCTTGGGGCTCGGGCTTAGTGCATACAGCAGCCTTGGGGCTCGGGCTAGTGATACAGCAGCCTTGGGGCTCGGGCTTAGTCATCAGCAAGCCCTTGGGGCTCGGGCTTAGTGCATACAGCAGCCCTTGGGGCTCGGGGGGGGGGCTCCTTAGTGCATACAGCAGCCCCTTGGGGCTCGGGTTAGTGCATACAGCAGCCTTGGGGCTCGGGCTTAGTGCATACAGCAGCCCTTGGGGCTCGGCTTAGTGGCTCGGGCTTAGTGCATACAGCAGCCCTTTGGGGCTCGGGCTTAGTGCATACAGCAGCCCTTGGGGCTCGGGCTTTCTAAGTGCATACAGCAGCCCTTGGGGCTCGGGCTTAGTGCATACAGCAGCCCTTGGGGCTCGGCTTAGTGCATACAGCAGCCCTTGGGGCTCGGGCTTAGTGCATACAGCAGCCTTGGGGCTCGGGGCCTTAGTGCATACAGCAGCCCTTGGGGCTCGGGCTTAGTGCATACAGCAGCCCTTGGGGCTCGGGCTTAGTGCATACAGCAGCCCTTGGGGCTCGGGCTTAGTGCATACAGCAGCCCTTGGGCTCGGGCTTAGTGCATACAGCAGCCCTTGGGGCTCGGGCTTAGTGCATACAGCAGCCCTTGGGGCTCGGGCTTAGTGCATACAGCAGCCCTTGGGGCTCGGGCTTAGTGCATACAGCAGCCCTTGGGGCTCGCTGCCGGGCCTGGGCTTAGTGCATACAGCAGCCCTTGGGGCTCGGCTTAGTGCATACAGCAGCCCTTGGGGCTCGGGCTTAGTGCATACAGCAGCCCTTGGGGCTCGGGCTTAGTGCATACAGCAGCCCTTGGGGGCTCGGGCTTAGTTGCATACAGCAAGCCCTTGGGGCTCGGGCTTATGATACAGGCGGGGCTCGCTAGTGCATACAGCAGCCCTTGGGGCTCGGGCTTAGTGCATACAGCAGCCCTTGGGGCTCGGGCTTAGTGCAACAGCAGCCCTTGGGGCTCGGCTTAGTGCATACAGCAGCCCTTGGGGCTCGGGCTTAGTGCATACAGCAGCCCTTGGGCTCGGGCTTAGTGCATACAGCAGCCCTTGGGGCTCGGGCTTAGTGCATACAGCAGCCCTTGGGGCTCGGGCTTAGTGCATACAGCAGCCCTTGGGCTCGGGCTTAGTGCATACAGCAGCCCTTGGGGCTCGGGCTTAGTGCATACAGCAGCCCTTGGGGCTCGGGCTTAGTGCATACAGCAGCCCTTGGGGCTCGGGCTTAGTGCATACAGCAGCCCTTGGGGCTCGGGCTTAGTGCATACAGCAGCCCTTGGGGCTCGGGCTTAGTGCATACAGCAGCCCTGGCTCGGGCTTAGTGCATACAGCAGCCCTTGGGGCTCGGGCTTAGTGCATACAGCAGCCCTTGGGGCTCGGGCTTAGTGCATACAGCAGCCCTTGGGGCTCGGGCTTAGTGCATACAGCAAGCCCTTGGGGCTCGGGCTTAGTGCATACAGCAGCCCTTGGGGCTCGGGCTTAGTGCATACAGCAGCCCTTGGGGCTCGGGCTTAGTGCATACAGCAGCCCTTTGGGGCTCGGGCTTAGTGCATACAAGCAGCCCTTGGGGCTCGGGGTGCGGGGGGGGGGCTTAGTGCATACAGCAGCCCTTGGGGCTCGGGCTTAGTGCATACAGCAGCCCTTGGGGCTCGGGCTTAGTGCATACAGCAGCCCTTGGGGCTCGGGCTTAGTGCATACAGCAGCCCTTGGGGCTCGGGCTTAGTGCATACAGCAGCCCTTGGGGCTCGGGCTTAGTGCATACAGCAGCCCTTGGGGCTCGGGCTTAGTGCATACAGCAGCCCTTGGGGCTCGGGCTTAGTGCATACAGCAGCCCTTGGGGCTCGGGCTTAGTGCATACAGCAGCCCTTGGGGCTCGGGCTTAGTGCATACAGCAGCCCTTGGGGCTCGGGCTTAGTGCATACAGCAGCCCTTGGGGCTCGGGCTTAGTGCATACAGCAGCCCTTGGGGCTCGGGCTTAGTGCATACAGCAGCCCTTGGGGCTCGGGCTTAGTGCATACAGCAGCCCTTGGGGCTCGGGCTTAGTGCATACAGCAGCCCTTGGGGCTCGGGCTTAGTGCATACAGCAGCCCTTGGGGCTCGGGCTTAGTGCATACAGCAGCCCTTGGGGCTCGGGCTTAGTGCATACAGCAGCCCTTGGGGCTCGGGCTTAGTGCATACAGCAGCCCTTGGGGCTCGGGCTTAGTGCATACAGCAGCCCTTGGGGCTCGGGCTTAGTGCATACAGCAGCCCTTGGGGCTCGGGCTTAGTGCATACAGCAGCCCTTGTCACCCACCATCTGTGCCAACACTGCCACTGATGATTCTGCATGGTGGGCCAGATGCCTCCTCTGGTGCTGCCTGTGCTGCGGGTGATATGGGGTGATATGGGGTGATATGGGGTGATATGGGGTGATGCAGGAGATGGTGGTGGAGGGATGTTGGTGGGACATGGGAGGTGGATGGAAGGTGGGGCGAATGAGACCCCACCAGGCAGCACCAGAGGAGGGATCAGGCCCAGCGTGCAGCATCATCATCTGCCACCCTCTAAGCTGGGCTCATGGCTCATCCACCCACCATCGTCCCCATCACCACCACCAACCGCCCTACTGCCAGCACCAGGAGCAGCATCCAGCCCTCCCTTTCCCGGCACAGCGCCCCCAGTGGCCGTATCCGTGTGGCCCAGGAGGAGCAGAGGAGGGGGTGCGAGGTCAGCCCAAGACCGGGGTGCCCCTCACCATCGTGGCAAGAGCTTGCCTCACATAAACCTGCGGCCGCCAGGTTCTGATTTGGCCTATTATGCCTTAAACGATGGGTCTCGGGCCCAAGCACAGAGATTTGACACTCAAGCAACCGCACTGCCGCCGTCTGACCCACATGGTACGAACCACCAGGAGCTTTGGCCCACCCCCCCGCCTCCTCCCAACTTACCTCACTTACCACCTCAGAGCACCACCAAGGATGACGCTGCTGGTGGGGGCGGGAAGGGGTGGTGGTGGTGGCGGTGGCGGTGGCGGTGGCGGTGGCGGTGGCGGCGGCGGTGGTGGTGGCGGTGGGGGTGGGTGAGGGGGGGTGGGGGGGGGGGAGAGGGTTAAGGGGGATATAGGCTCCACCCTCCTGACGTCAGTCCATTACTCCAGGTGCGATTTGAAGGAAGGGGTGCATGGAGGAGAGGGATGAGATGACCCCCCCTATACCACACCTTACCTCACCAATGCTACACCTTTACCTTACCTCTCTCACACGTAAGCCCAAACTTGCCTGCCCGCTAACTACCTAACCCCTGCTGCTGCCCTGCTGCTGCCCCTGCTACTGCTGCTGCTGCTGCTGTTCTGCTGCTGCTGCTGTTTCTGCTGCAATCTTCCAGGTGTTGCCAAGAACACTGCCAGGGTGGGTGGGGGGGCGGGGGGGGGAGGAGGAGGAGGGGGGGGGGTGTGGGGGGAGATGAGGTCGATGGAAAGAGATGGCAGCAAATGGGATGTGAAGGACTCATGGAGTGCAAGGGAAAGCATGAGAGGATCGCTCCTGCCTGGTGCAGCTGGCGCTAGAGAGCACAGAGCATGAAGGGCTCCAGTAAAGTCTCCAAGGGTTACCGAGGGGGTCACCCGAGGGGGTCCTAGAGACTCTCCCATGGCACCCTCCTAGAGACTCTCCCATGGCACCACTCTCCCATGGCACCCTCCTAGATACTCTCCCATGGCACCCTCCAGGGCTGCTGGGTTGGTGGGGAGTCACCCTGCCATTCTCCCCTCCCCTGGTGGCGTGCAACCAGCAAGGCGTGCTTGGCTGGACTCTCCACTGCCATCCGCACAGAGGCCTGCTGGGGGAAGGGGAGGAGGCACAAGGAAGGGCGATAAGGTGCAGGAAAGGGGGGGGGGGGGGGTGCGGTACATGGGATGAGAAGCGGAAAGAGCGGATGGCATGCTGAGCAGGAGAGGATCGATCCACCCCGGGTGTAGCGTCAGCTAGAGACCACAGAGCATAGCCTGAG